TGTACTAAATATCAAATGTGAACAAAGCCCATTACTCTAAGATTGTTTACGTTTATGGTGATTTGAGTAACAATTAGGGGAACAGGGGGGGGGGGGAGGGAAGGGGGGATGTGAACGTTGTAAAAATGTAAATAATATTTCTAATATATCATCAATTATTGTGTTTTGAAAAGTGAGTCTAACTATATGGGTTAGAGTAACACTACTCTTTTGCAATAATTCTAATTCTAACAATATTCTTAAATAGAGGTCTATATTAAATTTAAATTAGGACTGTGTTGAGGACTTTATCTAAATTACTGTGGTGATACATAATCCTTTCTCTAGCCTATTACTTACTTCGTAGCATAATGGTAACCTTACTTATATGACTGGAGATCCCAAGAACTAAGTTTAAAGGGACAACTAAGTTATGTATGGCTCGCCAGAAATCACCAAGGGATTAACATTCCTACCAATTCCTATGGTGAGAGTGATATCTGCAAACATATGTTGTTTGCAGGGGTATAAGGACAAGCTTTGCTTTTAATGATTACTTATATCTTGATTAAAGTATAAAATCAAGACGAGTATAAGGAGATACTCACGATAAGAATCACCTATATAAGTGTTGAGCTGGGGCCGGTTCTATGAGAATGAAAAAGGCTACATTCTCTAGAAATACTCATGAAAACCAGGTGCGTTCAAGGCCAAAATGAACACAACAGTGAGAACCACGATGTGTTAGAAGATATTTTGTGTGAAATCTATTGTCTTGGCTTACACAAACGGCTGAACAATTCAAGGCATCGCGTCCATTGGTTAGCCAGTAAGTCCGATAGGTTATCACTAGGGAAGGTTCAAAGCCTTTGTCTTTTGCATCAACATCAATTGCAGCAGAACACTTGGTTGACAATGGGAGCCCACAAAGTTCCGGGTTACCTTCATAAATGGATGGATCATTGAAAGTCTGGAACTGATTGGTTGAAGGAATTGACCCGGAAAGGTTGTTGTATGACAAGTTCAAATGGCTCAGTGATGTTAAAGAAGACATGGTTGAAGGAATTGAACCGGACAGGTGGTTGCTCGAAAGGTCTAGTGTTTCTAACCATCGCAATTCTCCAATTTTCTTTGGTATCTTTCCTGTCAATTGGTTTCTTGATAAATTCAAGGTACCCAAGTCTGGTGGATATTTGTTATCTCGAGTGAATGGGAAATTGAAGCCAAAGTGTGCTCCATGGAAATGGAGTTTTGGTGGAAATTCCTTAAGGTTGTAAATTGGCTTGTCCCACATTGATTTGGTGGGAAGTTTTGAAAGGGTTTATAAGGCTTGGGTTTGATACTTGGGGTGTGGCCCAAGGGGTACCTAAGTGTTTTAGAGGGAGAGGTTATGGACAAAATGGGCTAGACCCATTAGACCCAAAAATCACCACACGCGCGTCGCCGCCGCCGTCCGTCCGGTTGGTCGGGCGGGCTGGGCTGGGCCTGGGATTGGGCGCTGGTGTGTGGTTGGGTTGGGCTTCTAATCTTTTTGGACCAATTTAATTTGAATTCTGGATTTTATTTTTGTTCATCCAAACAGGGCCCTTCTCGTTTTCAAACAGAATTAAACTGATTTGGATTTATTGCTCATCCAAACAGAGCCCTTCCCGTTTTTATCTGTTTGAATAAATTAACCCAACAGATTCAAATCTGTTCAAATTTCAAAACCAACAGGTATCATACCTGTTAAATTCAAAACCAAGAGTCACCTTTACATCTATAAATAGGACCACCCTCATTTGATGTTTTTTAATTCAGAAATTTCGTATTTCACCTCTGCTAATTATATTCTTCATCTTGCTGCATTTTATTTCCGAAAGAAAAAGTGTAAACACTTAGTGTGTTCGTAAGGCAAACAATTTGTAGTGCTGCTATTGTTTGTGGTAGATCATTTCATCCTGGGAGATAGACGTCCAAATTCTGATAGCACCGTGGAGAGGACGAATCTGTCTTAAGGACACAGTGTTAAACACTAGACTTGATCAGAAAAGTTATTCAAATAAATTAACCAAGTAAGTTGTTTAATTTTATTCTATTTTTATTTGTTTATTTAATCAGATTTTATTTTTTGTTTTTGTAACAAAATAAAATCTGTGATTTTATTTATTTATTTATTATTTCGGGTTTTATTTTTGTAATCAAACAAATTCTCTCTTTTTCTTTATTTCTTTAAATTCATTGTTGTTGTATACACAATAGAATTAATCTTTTTAAATACAGTGAAGATTGTCCTACAAATATTTGATGTTGTCTCTTCTTTAACCTTACAATTAAAACTTTTGAAAGATGAAATAATTGTTGAATGAGAAACAAAAAATGCTAGATTCCTAATAAATTATATACTATATTGGCTCACAATGAAGTTTGGATCTCGTATCAATATAGATGTAAACTCATTCATTTATTGTAAGTAATTACTAATTTATAATTTATTAAAATATGCGGCCGAGCACACCATTCATTTATGAATAAAATGCTTTCATCAAATTGGTTGAAATGAGGGTAGAAAAGGAAATAACATTTCAGTTGATGCACTAGTTGAAAAATTCAGCCGACACTTTTCCTTAAAACAACCCAACCAAGCTTTGATACCAAATTGAAAAGTTCAACCCACACTTCTCCTTAAAACCAAAGTATTAAGAAAAGGGAAACTAGAACCTTATAACTAACACAAATGAGGCAACTCTAAGCGATGTGGGACACATTCCAACAACACTTACCAAAATGATTTGTGCAAGTTTACTAAAATTGCCAACTTTACATACATTTTAATGACGCTCTACCAATAATCAGCACATCTACACTTTCTATTTCTGGTTCCGCTATCTCAATCTTTGTCATTGTACACTCTACTCTCTATATATCCTTCAGTTTGTTTTTAATGACTTAAACTTTTAAGACAATCGAAGACTTAAAAAGACAGATTCTTCGGTCTTAAAAAGACAGATTCTTCACAATTTCAATGGAAGTACTCTCTTGGTTCTAAACAACTAACTTTTCACCATGCCAAGTCACTGCTTGCTCTCTCTCCTCACTCATATCAAACAAGTAAACAAAACTTGCAAATATACCCTAGTTTGAACTGCATATATACAGTCCTTTCCAGACCTCATGAATCAATTTCTCTTAAACAAAAGCCGCACGAAGAGCACAACTGATAGGGCACAAACTGAAAAGGTATCAAGATGAAGGCTTCAGACATTTTCCATCTTTTGCTATTTTTGCTATTTCTGGATTACAAGGAGGCAGCCATTTAAAGGTGTATATGTCCAACTAAGCAGTTAAAAGAATGATAAAATGAAGCACAATTATATTAAAAATAAATAAATAAAAAAAAACAAAATAAAAGAAAGAAATGTCTACAAAAGATTCAAACCACAACAACACAACCTTTGAGCTCACACAAGGTATATTTAAAAAAACCAAACCTCAATTCCCAAACTATTATTCATTCAAAGCTCAAGCTTCAAAATTTAGCGACTCTTCACTAAATAACATACGCAAAAGACAGCCCATTATCTTGACTTTTATACTTGAAACAGTTGAATTTTTACTATTTTTGTTTGAAAATCTGCCAAAGATTTGATACCAAGATGCAACCATTGATGATATATATATACTTCCACTTCATCAAGCAGATGCTCCGTTCTCAATCACCTCTTTAGCTTGTCCATTCTTGCCAAGTTGGCTGAAGTTTCCCTTCTCCTTGAAGAGTTGGGAGTGGTGGTGCTTACAATAGAGTTGATGTTCATGAGCCACGTAATTTGATGGGCTGATCACACAACCTCCACGAGCGCACTTGAAACAAGGCCTATGGTATGACATGCCATCAACTGCCACCTGAAAGAACATAAATTATCGTACATAACATAAGCCTTTTCTAGAGGAACTATGCTGAGTCTGATAACATGAATAAACTGTGCTAAGCATTAGAAGATCAAAAGACAAACACTGAATATCACAACTTAAATATCCATGGCAACCTAAGAATATGGGAAAAAGGGAAGGGAGGGAGGGGATTAGTTGCATGAAGCAGGGGTGGGCGAGCAAGTGCATATAGAAGTTTCTAAAGTTGGGAGCGCCTATAAAATCATGTATATGCTTGACATATTAAATACATAAATATATTCCAGCAAATATTTTTTTCTGCTTGGTTGTAATCTATGTGTTACAATATATCAATAAAATATTAGAGATTGATGTCAACTACAAATTGCCTTTGTTTAGTATAAATAAATATTATGTAAATACAAAGTAGTAGAATAAGCTTGAATTATTTTTCTTTTGTATTTGTTTTATTATTATTCTTTTTAAATTATAGATTTGTATGTTTAAGAGGTTGTTGGGAACAAGTTTCTTACAAGTTTTTTGCTTTGGAGTGCAATCAAGTTTCTAAGTAAGAAACGTCACCCAAACAGGAGTTTCTTGCTACTAAGGGGAGGGGTCCTACGTAGGCATTTTGAGGTTTTTTGTTAGTACAAACTGACAAAATCCTTCATACTTGCAACCAAGTTCAGGTCATTACATCAATCAAGATTATTGGGGAAAAGACAGTGTAATGACCACGGAAAGGAAGGTAGAATGCATAACAGAAGCATCAAGCATGTAAAACCAAAGGCTGATAAGATTCTAAATTACTTATAGTACTAAGAACCTCCATTAATTTGGATTCTAGATATAGAATTTAACATTCTTGTAAAAGCAAAATAGGTCATCAAAATTGGAAATAAGCCTAGATCAACTTTTCTGTCAGGAAAAGAGATTTTTTTAGTCTCTCTCCTCACAAGTTTTTGTATATATTTATTTTTGCAAGTATAGAAAAATATCAAAGACAAAGAAGTATGCATGGTGGAAATTCAAAGTCATCTTTTATTCCAGAATTGCTTATCTCTTCTTCTTTTTTTTTCCACAATTATTTCTTTACACTATGTTTGGATCATGGATTCCGGTAGGAATTTGAAAAGGGAAAAGGAAAAGATGGGTAAAATATGAATGAAATATAATTGCATTTCACCTACCTTTCCCTTACTCTTTTCAAATCCCTACCTAAATCAGTGATCCAAACACAACCTTTAGTGAAGATAAAGTGCTAATCTGTACCTTTTCTATTGGGTAAACAGTTTTCTTGCAAGCAACACATTTGTCTTGAGTTCCAGCAAATAAGCTCGAAACTTTGCTGTTGGTACGGCCCTGTACAATTTCACTCACAAAAAGAATAACAAGTTATGACTAATAAAAAGCTTCGATTAATTCTTTCGAACCCTAGACATAATTTCAATGTCCAAGAGAAAGGGATTGCTGAACTTGGCAGCAGTGAGTACCTGATCTGCAGATCTGTCAACTCTAACAGTTTTTGGAGCACCTATAAGGCAGATAAAAATGAACATACATATGGACCTATTAATGAGCTTAAACAAGCAGATAGAAGAATAAAAGTGCCCAATAATATTCATAACAAACTAGCTTATAAAAAAATCAGGAAAAAAAAAATTTAATTACCTTCAAAACTTTTGTCCAAGCTGCCTGTCATCTTAAACAGTTGGTCAAAGTGAGGCTTACAATATAGCACACCCTCAAAGGAGGAATAGTTACTCAGCTGCACAGAAGAACGTGAAACACAAGGATGTAAGGAAACAACAGATAATATATGAACGAAAATGTACAAGAAAACAAAGAGAGGCAATATGTTCTATGTCCTACTGAACACGGAATAGATAAAGAATCTGCACCTCAATATAAGATTTCATGCACAACTCAGGCAATACAAAACAGATCTTTCAGTCACTACGTACGAAAACCAAATAGCAAATCAAAGCATTAATATAATAGGCATGCAAAAATTTCAGGTCCTCCAATCTGTGGCTAACTCATGACCAATCAATTACCACATTCATCAACAGCTTATTTTAGTCGACTAAAGTAATGACTTCTTTTAAAGTAACTAAATGTTCTAGTGGCTAAATATTTTTAAATCGCAACTAGCCTACACTATGCTGGGACAGGATCTTTGCGAGATTTTTTCTTTTTGCAAGTTACATAATCCATATTACTAGAATCCACTATGTGTGAAAAATAATACAGCTTCAGGAATGAAAATATCCAATTTACTCAATTAATTTTTATTGACACAGTTTTTTTAAAGAAAAAATTATAAGTGATGTTTCTGTTGAATCAGAGGAAGGATTAAATTAAGCTAAGGAAATGATTGCAAAATTTATGCAGTCAATCCATGCAACAAAGAAAAAACAAATGCATGATTCCTCAGAATTGACAGTATCAGAATGAAAACGGTAGAAAATCCATTCTGAATCTGATTCTGATGCAGGGAACTGCATTCATCTCTTTGGTATGTGGCCACTACAGAGCTAAATGTTGTTTCCATAGTTTGAAAATAATCAAAAATTGGGATAAAAGGGCTTTATGATTACACCAAGCTTACTTCAATTAATCTGCAAAAGTATGTGACAAGTACCAGTGAGATGAAAATGTTGAGTCTAATAAGTGAACGAAGTAGAAAGATTTAATTAGAATGAACACACCCATAGAAAAGGTTGGAAAAAGAAGAAAAAGAAGAAGAAGAAGAGCCCATAGTTGATAAGGAAAATGTAATCAAATATGTGAAACGGTTTGCTCATGCGAGAAAAAAATAATGGAGATGCTCTAATCGAGACATTGAAGAAGGCTGAACTGGACCAGAATAGAATTAGTAAGAGGAAACTAAAAAACTAAATCCTTCAATTGATGATGTATAACAAAGATGCACAAGGAAGGACTAATAGGTTCCAAAATTGAAGACAACATATGGAGACTAGAAATAACCAAAAATCTATAAAATGAAAAAAAGGGGAGAGGTGAGGTAATGTAGAGGCTAGACATCCCTGGAATCAATTGGAGAAAGGTTAGGTATAGGACAACCAAGATTTTAAATAACGGTGGCGGTTACTGCAATGATAACAATAGTGTTGATGCGGTTGTGGAGTGTAACGGCCGTAGCGTTACGGTAGCAGTAACCAGAACCGTGAATTTTTTAATTCTTCGCACAACTTTAAGAAAACATACCGATACGCATGTTTTTATTTCAGAATCACATTTAGTAAAGTTGAAAATGATATTTAGTATTTTGTTTAGTTTTAAAACTTGATCCAATATATATACTAACTTATATATTAGTTTTAAGTCACTGGAGAATTTTCCTATCGTTAGATTTGTTTAATTCTCTTTGCTTTACTAATTATACTTACGGATAATTTCCAATTTGTCAAAATAAAAAATAAAATAAAATAAATGAAGTATGTTTAATATTAAAAATAATAATCTCATAAACATAAGTTCAAAATACAAAATGTCAACATAATAATGTAAAAGTACATAACATGAAATCTAAATTTTGTTCAATAAATTTAACATAATAGAAATAGGTACGTATAAGTTAATATTCAAATATAATTAAGTAAAAAAATAATGAAATCTTGTAAAACTTGAAGATTGGACATTCAAAATATGTATAGATAAGATTTTTTCTTAAGTTCTATATAACTAGAAAATAAAAAAAGAAAACTGCATTATATACAAAATTTATAAAATTAAAAAAAAGAAACATAACAGTCATAACGGTGATGTAGTGGCAATGTAACGGCCGTTACAACCTTTACATAACGGTGGCAGCCGTTATGGTTGTGAATTTCTATCACACTACTATAGCGGCCGTAATGGGGCGTTATGTCAGTTGCGGCTGCTTTTTACAACCTTGCTCGCAACCTAGACATCCTGGAACCCAAATGGATGAAAATTAAAAAGACTTCCTTACACTAAAATAACAGGGAATTTTTCCAATTTATATCCACTTACCAATTCCATAGGTCAATTTGTAACATTTTTTTTTATTACAGCAAGAGATAGGATGACACCAGATTACTGAATTATACGAGTGTTTTTGAATTCTACAGGCCTCCAAAAGCAAGCCCAATATGTCTTGACAAACAAAGATACTTTCTAACAACCAATTTTCGCATAATTTTATTGAGGTTCTCTTGCAACTGTTGCAAGTTTTGAAATAAGTTACATTCTAATTCAATTGAGCCACAATTCATGTAGGCAACTAATAGGTGGTTACAAAGCTGATAAGAAGAGAATTACAAATACATGACTTGTTGTAACAATGACAACTCTTTTCCGTAGAACAAACGACAATGATAGAACCAACATACATGAATTTTAACACAAGCCCAATATGTCTTGACAAACAAAGATACTTTCTAACAACCAATTTTCGCATAATTTTATTGAGGTTCTCTTGCAACTGCTGCAAGTTTTGAAATAAGTTACATTCTAATTCAATTGAGCCACAATTCATGTAGGCAACTAATAGGTGGTTACAAAGCTGATAAGAAGAGAATTACAAATACATGACTTGTTGTAACAATGACAACTCTTTTCCGTAGAACAAACAACAATGATAGAACCAACTGTTGAGTAAAGTAGCAGACAATTTTTGCTGCTTCAAACTTGTATTCAGACATTTTAAAGTTAAACTCTACGTCCTACGAGCAAACTGCAGGTGAATAATTTACACTTTAAAGATCGTAATTCGCAGGCACAAATTTCGCAGGAATTTTCACTTCATTCGATTAAATCCAGATGAGACATCTATCATGTTCTCTGAGTCATTGTACAATAATAAAAAGAATCCCACAATTTCTCTAAATTCCTGATGACACAAAACAGAAGTGGAGACATCTTCTTGTCATTTCTATGATTTTTGGGAAAAAGTTAAATTACTCAAACTTTACACTATGCATCTCTAACCCCACTGTATCACTTACAATCTAGAAAATTCACAAATTTCTCGGCTATACCCTATAGTTTAGTATTAACTCAAGAAAATTCACTAGTCTGTCCAATCTTTTATCAATTGCTTCGATGTATCCCCAATGAAAAGCTTGTATCAACACAAATGTCCAAACAGGTGAAATTCAGATGACAAAAATTTCCCTGAAAACATCTCATAGTGGATCACCATTTTCATTGAAAACGCTATGGATCCAAAAACCCATATCAGCCTATCACCCAATTGAACATATTCATCCAATAAACTTTAAATTTGTAAGCCTCAGATTGCAAACCCATGTTTGAACACTTAGGCTAGGGAAGATCATGATCCAAAAACTCAACTTAGAGGCCATCATCATATTCATCAAAACCAAACATGCAAGCCTACCCATCATCAAACAACTCAATTATACAATTCCTTTTAACAGAGAAGCAAATATTTCAAAAAGAAGCTAATCATCATCGTCTTCAAATCAAACCCATATAAGAAAAACAATCATTAATAAGAAAAAAAAAATCATATAAATATAAATATATACTATATAGATGTCTACAGTTACATATTTATGAAGTGATGTAGTGATCAAATATAAAGCAAAGCAGAGAAGTACGAAGATGAGAGACTGATTGACCTTGAGGGTGCCTTTGCAGTGGTGGCACCTAAAGCAAGCCTTGTGGTAGACCTTACTGTCTGCTGTGAGCTCATCTACCAAGTACACAGTCTTCTCACATGCTTTGCACTTCTGGGTTGTCCCTCCATAGGTTGCCATGTCCTTCCTCTGATCTTCCCAACACCCACAGTTTCAAACAATCGATCAACAAACCAAGAAAATTTCTTGTAAATGAGAGGACTCTCTCTCTTTCTCTCTCTTTTGAGTATTGAAGTTTCACAGCTCAGATGGTCAGAGAGGCAGCACGAGCGTTACCATCTGCTGATATTAGGTATGTCTTTTTGAAAAAAATAATAATAAATGTTGGGAAAAATTATAGAATATGCAGAATTTGTATTCTTAATTAATTATTATTTATTATACATTTTCATATTTTTTAATTGCTTAATATGATATTTTACCTATCTATTTTGCCTACTAATTATAATATTATAAAATAACACGCATATCATTAAACTCTCCAATTAAGATAATTTCACATCCTTGAAAAGGGATGATTGCATTTGCACACAATCATTTTTCTCAATGCATATACAATCTCTCTAATTTTTTATTATATTTTTGCCATTTAAGTAAATTACCATTTTAGACTAAATTCTAAAACTTAATCTCCCAATATACACCCGATACACTCACCACCATCATTGCCGCGAACCACTATTGTCTCTCATTTATTACTTGTTCTCTACCATTGTGATGTATAGATAGAATTTCTATTCTTGAAAAAATATTTTTTGTTAGACAACCCATTTCGTAGGGCACCTCGAGCCTAAATTTTATTTTCCCTCCCCACTCTTGCCCAAATAAATAAATAAATAAATAAATATTAAACTTTCATGCCTCTCAATCACCTTTATTGCCACCTTTTGACTCGTATGCCACCGTTTGTCGTCCTCTTTTCTTTTTGTTCTTCTCTATTTGTTCCTTCTCTTTCTTCTTCTTCTCTATTTCATTGTCACGACCCCAACCCAATCCCCTTTCCCATTGCAAACCCCCATCATTCTTCTTTTTCTTCTTCTTCAATAAACCCTAGATCTTATAAAAGAAAATGAAAAAGAACATAATGGAAATATTTTCTTAAGTTGTGGAAGGGGGATAAAAAAGATTATCGATGATGGCAGTGGTGATGTTGGGAAGGAGTTGAGTAGTAGGAAAAGGCTAGGCATGTCGAGAAGGGTCGAAAGGGATTGAAAAAAGGTGTCTGGAGCTAGGTAAGGGAAGGTCAAAGTTGGAAGGATAGGCGAAGCTTCAAGCTTACTGGTTGGCCAAAGTTAGGGTTTTGGCCATTTTGGTTGTTTACATAATGGGTAAAATGGTATTAAAAAAATAAGTAAATTATACTGACTTCTCTTGAGATTTGAAGGAAATGCAACAAATCTCACAATTTTTATTTAATTATACTGGCCTCTTCTTTTTAATAATGCTACAGGGATTAAAACTAATACAGATAATGTGAAAATATAAAAATAAATAAAGAAAAATATAATTTTTTGTATAAAAGAGATGATAAAATTATTTTTTCATGCATAAGATCAACAAATTATTGATAAAAAAAGAATTAAGTGTAATGTAAATTAAAATTTAAAAAAAACCTAATATAAATATGTCAAAATTATGAGAGTGATTACATGGTGATGTTGGATCATTATCTCATACTGTTCATCACTTGACATTTGTCAAGTTGTTCTCCAAACCCAACCTAAGGTAAGTCCCATTGTTTTATCCAATGAATAGTTAGGGGTGAGCAGCGGATATACCGATCCGCCAAAACCGACCGAACCGAACCGATCCGCCACATTTTGGACGGATGCGTGATGATGAGCGGACGGTTGCCCTCGAGCCTAAATTTTATTTTCCCTCCCCACTCTTGCCCAAATAAATAAATAAATAAATAAATATTAAACTTTCATGCCTCTCATTCACCTTTATTGCCATCTTTTGACTCGTATGCCACCGTTCGTCGTCCTCTTTTCTTTTTGTTCTTCTCTATTTGTTCTTTCTCTTTCTTCTTCTTCTCTATTTCATTGTCACGACCCCAACCCAATCCCCTTTCCCATTGCAAACCCCCATCATTCTTCTTCTTCTTCTTCTTCTTCAATAAACCCTAGATCTTATAAAAGAAAATGAAAAAGAACATAATGGAAATATTTTCTTAAGTTGTGGAAGGGGGATAAAAAAGATTATCGATGATGGCAGTGGTGATGTTGGGAAGGAGTTGAGTAGTAGGAAAAGGCTAGGCATGTCGAGAAGGGTCGAAAGGGATTGAAAAAAGGTGTCTGGAGCTAGGTAAGGGAAGGTCAAAGTTGGAAGGATAGGCGAAGCTTCAAGCTTACTGGTTGGCCAAAGTTAGGGTTTTGGCCATTTTGGTTGTTTACATAATGGGTAAAATGGTATTAAAAAAATAAGTAAATTATACTGACTTCTCTTGAGATTTGAAGGAAATGCAACAAATCTCACAATTTTTATTTAATTATACTGGCCTCTTCTTTTTAATAATGCTACAGGGATTAAAACTAATACAGATAATGTGAAAATATAAAGATAAATAAAGAAAAATATAATTTTTTGTATAAAAGAGATGATAAAATTATTTTTTCATGCATAAGATCAACAAATTATTGATTAAAAAAAGAATTAAGTGTAATGTAAATTAAAACTTCAAAAAAAACCTAATATAAATATGTCAAAATTATGAGATTGATTACATGGTGATGTTGGATCATTATCTCATACTGTTCATCACTTGACATTTGTCAAGTTGTTCTCCAAACCTAACCTAAGGTAAGTCCCATTGTTTTTTTCCAATGAATAGTAAGTTGGGACGCCACTTAAGGTTGTCTTAGGAATAAAAAATATTTTTTTAATCTATGGAGTCGAATGTGTTTTTTTTTTTAAAAAAGAAAAAGAAAAAAAAAATTGGATGCATTTACAGCGAATAAAAATTTACATTTACACACCATAAAAAATCTCAATATATATTATTTGTATCGCTTGAATATAAATTTTTAAACAATAGTCAAATATTCAAACATAAATTTATGAACAAAAATATATTATTGTTAAGATGTACATTCCATTTAACTATGTATGGCCTATTTTGAAACCTCCATTAAAAGTTAATTTTTTAACTTTTTAATCTTTGTAAGTCATGTTACTTATTTATTTTTTTACATATTTTTTTTAAAAAAAATTTAGAAAATCAAAATTAGTTTTTAATTTATTTCTGAAAATACTCCTATCAACATCTGCTTTTCGTTTATAAATTTATATTTAAAACATTTACTATGCTTTATTCAAACGTAGATATCTAAATCATAATGGTGTTGTATACTAAAATTTTTAATAATGTACAAGTAGATTTGTATTGGAATTCGTTAAAGTACTAGAATACCCTTAAAGGAGGAGCAAGGATCTCTTCCTTGACACTCTTACCTAATTTCTTACTTGATGGGTTATTGGGTCAATTTTTGAGTCAAATTTTAATAATTTGAACCGTTCATATTTTAAAATTTGTCGTATATCATACATGTAGAAAATTAAGTCGATCGGATATCAAAAACTACGTGAATTAAAAATTTTATTAAACAATAAAACTGTTTATTAAATTTTTTTAATAAACGATTTTTAATTTTTTTGATATTCAATCAATTTGATTTTCTACAATTATGATATACATGACAAATTTTAAAATATAAACGGTTCAAATTATTAAAATTAAACTAAAAAATAAACCCAATAACCTATCAAGTAGGAGTCCAGTGAAAAAAGTCAAGGAGGGAATCTTGCTCTAAATGGACGCGTTTCGCGCTAAGAGAATTTAAAAGTGTTTTTGGAGCAGAAAGTAGTACTAACAACACCATGAGTGGCATGTTATTTTCGTGCTTCGATTTGGACATATGACTGTTTTTACAAACTGCGGGCGTTATACCCCCCACACTCTCTTGCAACGCGTCATTTCACTCTCCAACTCATTTTGCTTTTTTTATATATGAGATTCGAATAAACATATATTTCTTTCCTCCCAAAATAATAGTTTTTTTGAGTAAATTATAAATATATTTATTAAAGTTTGATTAAAATATAAATCGCTCCATATAGTTTTAAAAATTACATTTCACTTCTTGAGATTTCTAATTTCATAATAAATCGTCTCTTTTATTAATAAATCATCAAGTCAATTAACAGTTTTTAATAATGTTAAAAATATGTTTCAATTAATAATTTAAGTAATTTTATTATGAGGTATTTTTTTTAAGGTCCCTGATATTATGATTTTATAGTATAAAGGACATCAAATATTTTTATGATATCTAAGGTCCCTTAACAAGATCCAGAGAAATTTCAATTCCAGAGAAGTTCTCTCCAGAGAAAATTGAAATCCAGAGAAATTTCAATTCCAGAGAAATTCTCTCCAGAGAAAATTGAAATTTCTCTGAGTACCAAATAAATCTAGAGAAAATTGTGGAAAAGAAATTTGTATGGCTATCCAGGAAATTTCTTTCACATCGCAAATTTCTCTGGCTCTATTAACTACAATTAAACCCATGTCTAACAAACCCACAAACCCACAAATTTCTCTGGTCCAAAACCAGAGAAATTTTCTTCAAACCAGACAAACCAGAGAAATTCTCTAGATTGAAACCAAAGAAATTCTCTCTATTTACAGTAAAGTTGTATTTTTATGAACAGAACTTGGTGATTGTACATTGATCTAGGAAATTTCTTTGACTTCACAAACCAGAGAAATTCTCATCTCCAATCCAGAGAAATTCACTTAACCCAGATAAATTCTCTCTCTCCAACCCAAACCAGAGAAATTCCAATTTCTGTGATTGGGATACCAGAGATGGAGGCAAAGTTCTCTGCTTTAACATCATGGGCAACTTTGTATACATCAAGAAGATAAATAACTAACAAAAAACCTCAATTCAATTCAATGGGATTCTTAAATAAGAACCAACCATATATGTACTAACTAACAAAAAGCAGTTTCTCCTTTTCTTTCTGATTTTTCATTTCATTTATTTTCTTCCCCCTACCCTTCATGCTTTGTTTGGAGAATAGATTTATGTAGGGATTTGTTGATGGAAAAAGTGAAGAAAAAAAAAATTCTACTTCATTCACTTTTCCATTCATTTTTCTTCTCTTTCCTCAAATCCTTTCACTAATCCAAAGTTCCAAACACAAACACCTCCTTTCTTGGAGAATAGGCAAAATATGTCTTCTATTACCTTGGTAGCTAAGAAAGAGAATGCCGGAAAGGAATT